TTTTCAAACCTTGACATATCCAAATCACAAGTTGCAATTTTTTTTTTTTTTTTTTTTTGTTTTTTTTTGTTAAAACATTAATTTATTTTTGCTACATGCGCCGAAATTCGGGTTGTCTCATTGCCACATTCCACAACAGTCATTTAGTGCCCATTTGACAAATCATTTATATTTGAAAATATATTTCTWAAATTTACACCCGTGCTCTACTTTATTGCCTCGCATTTCATTATTAAACTAACAAATTTATGACGTTGCTCCATTTAGAAACAAAAACAAAAACTGACGCGAGCTATTTTTAGCGATCAGCGCGCACATTAATCTTATCACTTGAAGCTTTGTTTATTTACAATTACATTCTTGTGTTTTTTKTTAAWTTTTTTTTYTTYTTTTTTTTTTTTTGGCGCTCGCTGTCATTTGACGGCACACAACCTTCAGGCGTACGTACGACACGAGCGGCGCGGCGTGAGGGCGGCGACAGCAGCAAATTAAACGGCAGCGTGYAAAGAGCTTCGCAAGAATCGGTTGTGTGTGGTGAAAACATAAATAAAATACAATACTACACTACTCGAAAGCTACTTAAACATACTATCAGCAACGGAGACGGGCACTCAGCGATAGCCTCCGCACTAAAAACTATAAAGTCCAGTTTATACTGGTAACACTGGTTGGACACTTATTCGCGTTTTATGGCAAAAAAAGAAAGAAACGCACATTTGCACTTTTGTACGTGTGTGTGAGTGTGAATTGGAGCCAATTGGAAAATGCTTTAATGAATATATAGCAGCAAGTACTCAGGTCGCAGATGGCAAGCTATAAAAAATATACGCAAAAATACATACATATGCATAAAAGTTGAATACAGACAGTTTTGAACTGCGTTTTCCAAAATTCAAAATTAATACTTTTATATTTAAAAAAAAAATTTTACGTAATAATTGTATTTAATTCTTTTGTTTACAAAACGTTAATATTATTTTAAAAGTTGGCATTCAGTAATTTATGGGCTTCGACTCCCATAACTCAAANGTCAAAATTTCGTGAAAACTATATTAGTTTAAATTTTATATACATTTATGATTTAAGATTACATATTTTACGGTTTTTTAATTTTTGCTTCGAAATATTTGTATATACAAATATGTTTTCAAACCCATTAGAAAACAAATTAAGATTTCAAGTCATTTCCGTAAAAATAAAAACAGTTTCGTATTAGAGTATACAAGTCACTTTAGTTAACTCCACAATACTTGTTTTTGTCGTTCTACTATGCGTAGTATACGCACTCCATACTAAATTTTATCACCTCTTGCATGCAAWMTTTCTTCACTTCTTTTTATGCACTCCAATGTACATGTGRGGGCATATGAACCAAGTTTGCATTGCCTGTTTGCTGTATAGGTTCATTGTGTTCTTATCATTAAGCCAAGGAATATTAAAATATATTGTACTACTAYAATTTAAAATAAATATTTATACATATGCCTTGCAGTCGCTTATCACTGTGATGGTCACGTTCCATACGTGACTATTAATGTACCTCCAGGAATTGAAAAAAATAGCCGAAATTTGTTTACTTTAAGCTAAGCTAATTGAAAAAAAAATCACAAAAAGTTGCTGTTATTGTTCAACGGGAATACTATTATTATAATTTTTGTTTTTTGTTTAATAAAAATTTGTTTAATGTTAAGTGATAAT